CCTCCGCCTCCCGCCCCGCCCAGACCCGTCCTCCCCGCCCCTCGGTCCGCCAGGTCCGTCGTTCCGGCCGGGCCGTCTGTTCCCAGGAGCCACCGCCTCCAAGGTTCTGCTTGCTGAGGAATAAGTGAGCGCTCCCACCACTCCGCTGATTTCTACCTGTTCCGGGGACCCATTTGCCATTCCGAGAAACAGAATCCCTAGAGGCCAAAGGCCACCCAACAAGTCACCTGGACCAGCGTGGACTCGGACTTCAGATTTCCAAAACCAGCGCTCTGGATTCCTCCTCTTCCAGAGAAAGGCAGAGTGCGTAAAGTAGCAGCATCCTTGTCGGCGCAGGTGGTGCATTCCTCCACCACACAAGATTGGAGGGGCAAAGTCCACCTTAGGACTCAAGTGTCGGGTTTGCTGAGTCCCCAGGTCATAGTTAGGAGTCAGGTTCTAAAGACACATTGGGTTTAAAACCTCGCTCTGCCAATCCAACTGGGTACAAGCCATAATCTCTGTAACTCTCCTCACACAGGTATGTAAATGGTTCCTATTCTGTAGGTCGTCGTGAGGATTAAAGGAAAAAGTGCAGACCCACATGGTAAAGTGCTGGGCACACCGCTGATGCTATATAAATGATTGTTATCATCCAGGAAAGGGGCATTTTGGTAGAATTGAGGTGAAAAGGCAGAAATATGAAACTGAGTTCCCTATCTGCTCTGTCACCATGAGAATTTTGCTGTCCCCATATCCCCAATCCCCCTACCTGGGAAAGAGAGCAGCAGACTTTTCTGTTGATTTGAGGTACAGGGGTTAAACCCAGGACCTTCTTACTGAGGTACATCCCCAGCCCTTATTTTCCATTTTGAGACAAGGTCTTGATAAATCCCTATTATAAATTGGACGGGCTGGGTTGGAATTTGGGATCTTTCCGCCTCAGGGTCCCAGGGTGCCAGGATTACAGGCATGTACCTCCACATCCAGTTTAGAGCAGGAAAGTTCTTGAGATTTGGTCTTCTCTTCCAGGAAAACTAAGCTTCCTATTAAATAGCTAATATCTAGTAAATTCTTAACTATATGCCAAGCATCATTCTAAATTCTTAACTATCTTTTGTCCTTATGAGTAGGTATTTATTATCCCTACTTTAAAAGATGAGGTAACTGAGGAAGAGATAAATCAAAGTAGCTTGGTTGAACAATCTATCCCCATCCACGTCCCACCTTGGATAATCTCTTATCTTGATCACTCTGCTTTTCAGAAGTCTTCTCCATAGGCAGGAAGTTAATCATTCTCAGCAACCCTTTCCCCCTAGGGCTCCAAAGCTTAACCCACCCCTTCCCTACTTTGTGACTATCCCAGGCACTGCACCCCACACCAGAACCTTGGCGAGTCTGCCTGCTGGGCTGATGGTAAAGGCAAGGCTGATCTGCAGAGGTCATGTAAGTCTACTGAAGGAAGCAGGACTGTGGGACCTGTGTTCCTGTAGAACCCCGCCCACCTAAAGAGCCACTCTGCTAGCAGCCACATCAGAATTAAGTCCCACTGCCAGATCTCATCATCTCAAGAAACTAAATTTTAAATAAAAATCCAAATAAACTAATTTTAAAATGTGGCATTCATTTGTACGTTATGTTGATTATAATTACCCTTAATATGATGGGACAAGAACGGCATGTCACCTTGGTGCTCTTCCTTTCAAAAACACATATTCATGCAACACACTAGATAAATCCCTGATGAGGGAAATGCTACAAACACACCTCACCTCTATTTCTCAACATTTTCAAGGAAACATCAAAAAACAAAGTCTAAGAAACGATCACAGCCAAGAGGAGCCTAAAGAGACACATAACTAAATGTGATGTGGAATACTGAAACATAAAAAGGACATTAGATTAAAAAAAAAAAAAAAAGGAAATCTGCAGGAAGTATGGACATTGGACATTAGTTAAAAACAAAGTATGATGGACTGGAAGTAAAGCTCAGTGGTAGAATACCTGCCTAGCATGCCCAGCACTAAAAATAACAACGGTGTAACCATACATTATCTTCACAAATATATCATTCTGACACATCAACAGGGAAAACTATATTCACAACTTTTCTATAATTCTGAAGCTAATCTTTAAAATCTTACTTTTTAAAGGCTGGGGACTTAGCTCAGTGGCATCACGCCTACCTTGCAAGAGCAAGGTCCCAAGTTTGATCCCTAGTACCAAAAAAAACAAAAACAAAAAGACTTGCTTTTTAAACTGGAGGCCTAGGTGGCAACATGATTATATCCCAGCAGGTCAAGCAGCCACAAATTTGTGTCCTTGTTCCCAGTCTTTCTTGCACACTGCTGGACTCACCATCCTGATTTATCTTCAGGTGGTCTTGTACTCAGAACTGACAGTTGACAGGTGGGTAATGTCCAACTCTTCTACTGGCTGATTTTAGGTTTTTGAGACAGGGTCTCACTCACTATATACAGGCTGGCCTTCAACTCAGTGATCATCCTTCCTCAGCCTCCCAAGTGGTGGGATTACAGGCGTGTACCAACATGCCGATCTAAGGCCCTCCTAACTTTAACCAAATCTTCCTTTCCAGCTTCTTCAAACCATCCTCTCAGGCCAGGGATTTAGCTCAGTGGTTCCACTGCCTGCTATGCAAGCCCAAGGATCCGAGTTCAATCCCCGGTACCCCAAAAATAAAATCCCCTCCGACTCAGAAAGTTCATCCATCTCCTTAGCAACTATTTGCCTCTGCTTTTTCTAACCACTTCTGTCCTACCATCTCCTTTCCTCAGAATCCTTTTTGGAGCTGGGGATACAGCTCAGTGGTAGAGCATACACCTAGCATGCTTGAAACAATGGTGCTTTCCCCAGTACTGGAGGAACAAAAAGCCCCCAAAACACCTTCCCTCCTTTGTAGTGTCCCTGTAGTCCTAGGCCTAATCAGACCCCAAGGACTCTCCTTTGAACACCAATAGCATTTACACCCACTCAGTATGCTCCCTTATCAGGCACACAGGCACTTTGTGTGTGTGTGTGTGTGTGTGTGTGTGTGTGTGTGGTACTGAGAGTTCAATTTAGAATTTTCACGCTGAGCTATATTCTCAGCCTTTTTTAAAAATTTTAAAGCAGAATCTCACTAAGTCACTAAGTTGTCTAAGCTCCCAGTGCTGGAATTACAGGCATACAGCACCATGCCTAGTTAGTAGGCATTTTCTTGTACCTCTCACAATTCTGCTCACCTATTCTGGAAAGGGAAGGCATGTCACAAGGGCGCTGGTATAGAGGAAATAATGGAGTTGAGCCACAATCCTACAGTTTGTTTGCTGGATGGTCTTGGATAAACCCATCCCTGCCACACAGGAGGACAAGGAGAGGGCAGAAAGAATGAAGTTCACAGGTGGGGTTCACTTTGGACTATAAAGAGCTTTGCCCAGTGGAAGAACTGACATTCCCTTGAGTGTCATGCCTACTGAGAGTAACACTACACTAGACAAGAAGTCAATATTCTTTTTAATTGGGAAATCGATGTAACAAACCTAGATTCACTGAAAATGAAGTCAGTAACTAAGACTCTGTAGTCCATCCCCAACCATCACCAAGGTCTCTGCCTTGTCCTCATACCAGTTCCTCAAGCTCCAGAAAGGACAACCGCGT